GTCGGTCGGTGGGTGAGTGCAAACTGAGGGAACGAAGAGGGGTGGGACGAAAAGAAAAATAAATTTTCACATACGTATGGTTTATTAGAGTTCCTGCCTAAGGATAACAGAGAGAGAGAGAGAGAGAGAGAGAGAGTCTAGCGACAGAGGGTCCGTTTCGTTGCGTAATGAGAGATTTTATCGTGGTTACAGGGATAGGGCGGGGCTACCGCACTCATGCATTATCACCCCACTGCCCACTTCTGTCTGACGGATTACTTTATACGGTCACCGTGCATATACACATATAGTATAGTACGCACGTCGTTGTGGAATCGAGCACTAAAGAGCGCTTGCAAAACTACTCTCTTCCTCGATGCGAGCCGACCGAGGAGGGTCCGCCTCGATAAAAAGTCCCGGTGTCTGACTGCGAAACGATATCTGATCGGAGAATGGAATTTGCTGTGAAAAAAGGGAAAAATAATGAAAACAAAGCGCGCGCGAGAGAGAGAGAGGGAGAGAGAGAGAGAGAGAGAGAGAGGGGTGGAAAAATCAAACGAATAGATCTCTCATTTCGTACATGTTTAGGATAAATATATATATATATATATATGTTCCTAATAACTTTAACGGTATATATAATATCATTATTTTTAAATGAAAAGTAACATCGGGCTTCAACAGATGTGTGAGAAAATATTGCAAGTATAAATTGTTGTACGTTGTTGTTAACTGGTAAAGTTTCTTTGACACAGAAATGACGACTTTCGTCAAGGAGCGAGCGCAGTGAGTAATTTTTCGTCGACCTCCCTCGTTCAAGGGGTCATCGAATAAAATGCAACGAAAGTTCTCCATCGGGGTTTTTTTTTTTTTTTTTTTTTTTTTTTACGTTGCAATCTCTCGCGTTATTTCTCTTCGTAGTCAACAACGTGCAACATAGAAAACATAGTTTCCACGATTGAAGTGCAAACGCAGGTATGCAGAAATGTCTGGTAATTGGTATATGCAGTTTATAAATTACAATATAACAATCGCCGATATAGAGTTTTGCGTGTGAGCGTGTTGTACGCTTTTACGTTAAGGTTACAGTTTTGCTTAGGTTTTCGCGTCCGTAGTAGGATCGTTCATTACTCTGGGGAGGGGGAGGGCTAATAATCTCTCTCTTTCTCTTGGCCAGCTATTATCATGCGGGCACGGCCAGACCGCGAATTAACTCGACGTCGAACAATCGCGTTTCCTCCAATTTGCTGTCCGCCGTATGCCAACCGAAGGTTATACAAGGGAGGGGAGGGAAGGACGTATTCGCATTGTACCAACTAGTACGAGAGTCCTTCCATTTGGTTACAAGTAAAAACCTCTCTCTCTCTCTATCTCTCTTTCTTTTTGCCAAGCTTTTTCCGTCTGACGCTCGCTCTGATTTATTCGCGTTATGAAAATGAAAAAGACCTACACAAAATTTCTATCCAATTATATATTCATTGGGTGACAAAGGTAATTTTGTTTCGGTTAGTTTTACGAGTAATACGTTTCTCCAACACAATCGATTGTCTTAAACATAAAGGGTAATTTGTAAGAAACAAGTGTATTAGCGAAGCTAATCTGCATGTTCCATGCTTGATCTTTAATATTCAACTTATAGACGTTTATGTATAATACATTGAAGAATGTGTGTGTGTGTGTGTATGTGTGTGTATATTACTAGACCAGCAGGGCCCCTATTGGTGTGTAAGTAAAGTAGCTTTTAGCTTTTGTTAGTCAGTCAGAAGAGGAAGGAACGAACTGACTCAGCAAGAACCTTTAGGTAAACCTTTAGTGCAAAGTCTCCGAGCACGAGCGATTTGCATGCAGCGACGAGATTCCGAACGACGGACGTCGTGTCATTCGATGTTGAAAACTCACCACTCGAGTATTAAAACGCCCCTTGACGATAAGCGGCTAACAAGTAGGCCGGTGCACCCAAAAATATCTTTCCCTAAGCTTTCACGAGTTTTCTTTTACCATAATACAATATTTTTCTCGACCACCCTTTTTCGTGCTTCTAACAATTTGATCGAAAAACTTTTGACAGATTTGTACGAATGTAAAAATAATAAAAAAAAGAAATAAAGCAACTCATACATTTGTAGGCAACGTTAGTTAAATATTATCTGAGTTTCGTAACCCACAATGGACGCGTGCCGATGTTAACCATTAGCGCATATTGAAAAGTAAACTAAAACGTCAAGATGTCACAAGTTGTCACAGTTGTCCAATAGAAAAGTTAATGAGAAAAGAATGAACTAGCTTCATCGTATTTATCATCGTAGGATACCTTCTTAATAGATATCGTAGATAGGGAGAGAGAGAGAGAGAGAGAGAACGTTTCCATTAATCACCCATCGATTATGTGGTCAAAAGATAATCACTTACTTAACCATTCACTTAGAACAGGGACCCGTCACGATGGGTTCGACTCCTAAACACAATCGATACCGTCAACTGCGTAAAGAAACACGAGTCATCATCGGCAGGGAAGTAAAAAAAAAAAGAAAAAAGAAAAAAAGAAAGCACCGATGCTACTTCAAAACCAAGACGATGATCGACGACGGTTTATCCTAGAAAATAATTGGAGTATATTTTACTGAGAGATTTGAAATAAAAACCCAAAAAAAAACTAAGAATCAGATTCATTAGGATTGAACGTTCGGAAGAATGGAAAAAACGAGTCAACGGAAATGACTAATGTCAATTTAATGTCTACGAATGATATCGTCGGTTTAACCTCCATACTCCGTTTTACCTATCCAAGTAAACCAAGGATCTATTTTTTGAAGCGTAAAATAAATTGCTTAGAAGTATCCCGATGCACGTAAGACGACTCAACGTTTTCGTTTCGAACAACGATGCACGCAAATAAAAGAATCAAAGAAAAGAAGGAAGGGATATGTCAATTGCATGACAATGCATCAAGCAGAACAACGATAACACAACAACAACAAATCTTACTTACAATTAAACAACAAATGACTCTGGTCAATTCGATTGAGTGTGGGTGGCTTTCGTCGACCATTGGCTACTTTCCATATCCAATCGCTATCCTCTATTTTACTTTTGTTTCTTAACTTTTCAGGTTTCTTTTCGTTTTTCTTGCCAAACGAAACGAAACTTCCTTCCTTTTTAGATTCAATGTTAGTTTTTCCAAATAAAAGGATCTCCGTCGTCAGGAAACATTAGGCACGGTCGTTTAGTAACTCTGGGGGTGATTAAAAATCGAATTCTCCGGAAAACGTTGAACGTCGGAAGTGAAAACCGTAAGAGATACCACAACAACTAACTAGACGACCCTTCCCTTCCCTTCCCTTCCCTTTCCTTCCCTTTAGTATCCTGCGATCGAATCCTGTAACTCGTGTGTCGCAGGAAATTTCGGTTATCCCTAACGACAATTCCGATCCTAGTTTTAGGCCTCCCTAATGGCTTCTGACCATTCAAGATATTGCACGGAATCATTTACGAGTGCTCGAAAACCTATAAGAACGACAGATCAACTTAAATTCCATCCTGTCATTTCCCATGTGAACGATAACTATTATTTCATTTGTTTCTCATGAATAATTTTTAGTTAAAGAGTCTCGAGTATAAAGGTTTTTATTTAAGTAAAAAATAACCATCTCAATCAAAGGGGGTACCTTGTTTTTTTTTTTTTTTTTGTCAAGATGATATTATAAAAAGGTGTAACGTATCCCCCTTTATAAAAGATCCCTTTTGATATTTATTCGAAGCATCATTTTTTTCTTGGTCTCCCTCCAGAAAGATTTCGTTCATGATCATGGTAACCCGTTGTCACGGTTATCCGTTCTCTTATCCGTCTCGGAAAGCTTCTCCTTGTTCTTCTTCTTGTTGTGTTGTACTTCGGGAGGGGTCCAAAAGGATCGCGTGGCGCACGCGTGCTGCTTCCTTGCGTGTCGCGTATCCTTCTTGTAGAAGCATCCGATGATGCCGTTCGATAAAGTTCCACACATATGCACGAGCCTAAACAACGATGTTTATATTTTCAAATAAATCAATTTGTCTTTATACATAATAAAACACAATGTGTCACAAATAAAATTTAGAAATAAAGAAGATCTTTCAATTTGAATATCGAAATATGTACAACAAATTTCTGAAGTATTCGATGCGATTTTTATTATTCGATGTCGATAGTAAAGAGGGACGGGGTTGTGGGGTGGAGAGGGGAGGAGGGGGGCCGGGCCCAAGTCAAACCTCGTGTCGTATATACGACATGACAGGAAGTGAACGACACTTCCTCTTAAGCCCTATAATACTCCGTCGATCTGTTACAGTTCCATACACCTGCCTACCTCCTGCTTTAATATGCGCGCCATAATTAGAACATACGAGAGCACGGTAGTACTAAATAATAAACCGGCCGTATTAAAGTCGCGCTGGACGAGCAAGCAAGTAAGCAGCAAGCAAGTAAGCAAGCAAGCTTGCGGCACTTAACCAACGCGAAAAAGGAATCTTTTCTCAGAATGTTGTGCCCGTTAACTTTTTACGAATCATTTGGGGCCAGCCTCCCCATCCCTTTATATCTTCAATCTTTCTCTCCAATATACTTTATTTATTATATATATATATATATATATATATATATATTAATGGGATTAATATAAAAATATTTAAAAAAAGCACTGTATAATCACATCCACACTGGACAATGTTGAGAATATAAAAACGGCTGACGCGAGTTTGAATAAAGAATTTTAGGGAGAGTGTCTGTGTGAGTCCCTTTTTTTTTATAGGGTGACCATCGTAAATCGTATCTTAAGTTCTCGAGTTACGATAAGAAACAGTTTTGCCCGGCCCCCTTTTTTTTTTATATTGCCAACTAAAGAAATCATAAAACTTGATTGTGATTGCTCTAATCATTCCGATGATTCTTTTTTAATTTTTTCTTGTTGTTTTACTTTTTGGAAAGAATTTGATTGAAAAAACTTGTCCTTTTTGCCTCTAATTCGTTCGTATCTCTTGTTCCTTTACAGTGGTGATGCACAAGGACAAGGAAGAAAATTCGCATCATGATTCGCATTACCGTGCACGTGAGTTGGCTGCCTTAGCTGCGTACGATCATCATCACCTTGACGGTGAAATGTTCCTACAGGTGAGTGTGCTCGTTTCTACCATCGAGACTCTTATCATCATTTCGTTTCAATACTTAACATTTATGATCTCATTTTGGCGAGGAAAGAAATTTGAAGAAAGAGAGAGAGAGAGAGAGAGAGAGAGAGAGAGAGAAAGGCGCATACTAATTACAAAAGGGTTGAACGTGCTTGCACTCCTGTCTGTTACTTATGACGCGTAAAATGCACCTGTCGTCCGTTTTTGCCAGTATCGATCAAGACGCCTGTCTCGATTTCGATCGTTTTAGATTAGAAATAAAAAGAAAATATGATATTTCTGATTATTAAAATCCTATCGAGGCGTAATATTTTCCACGGTTAATAAATTTCTAAAGAAAACCATTAAATAAATTTGTTTAAAAGGTGATTGGTATATTACCAATTTGTTATAAAGATCATGAACACAAGTTTAATAGAATAACATAGCTCGATAGTTTAAGATCTAACAAATTGAAATGGAATAAACATGAACAGGATTATCTATCTTTTCCCACCTTAATTACGTAAGACCTATCGATCGTTGTATCAGACCAACTGAACGAACGAACGAACGAACGAACGAACGAACGAATGAATGAAAATAAATGGTTGTGGGAAGAAACTCTCAGTGGAGAAAGATGAATGGTCGGGCTGACTGAGTACGCGTGTTACCGAATGATTTCGTGATTGAAAGCGTTCTCGTCGTGAAAACGATACGCGTTAACCCTTTTTTTTCTTCTTTCTTTTTTCAAACCATTTTTTTTTTTTCTTTCTCTCGAATAACCTAAGAAAAGTATAGCAAAGTTGTCTCGCTTGTTAATTTGCAAAGATCCAGTCGAAATTAAATCATTGCGAACGAGGTAGAGTTGGGGGTGGATGACGAGGAAGAGGAGGAGGAGGAGGTTGGAGGAGGAAGGAATGGCACGGAAAGGGGATGGGATGGGATGGGGTGGGGTGGGGAGAGAAGGAGCAAGATATCCGGCTGATGAACCGGCTATGAAACCGAGGCGTACGAGGTGTCTATTCCTCCAAAGTATGGAAGGGTATATACACGGATTAATGGAGGCGTATCATGCGAGGCTATTACGTTCCCTTTCCTGCGTTTTAGTCTCATGTGCGCGCGCGAGAGAGAGAGAGAGAGAGAGAGAGGGAAAGAGAAGGCATACAATATACTCGCATGAACTCGTACGGAGGCACGCGTACCTTTCATGCGAGTCCTCCTGCATTACGATCGAACGATCCTGCCAGCATCTATAACGGCGCGTTATTAATTGTCTGCTCGTTAATTACGTTACGTAGCTCGTGCCCGAAGCTAATTCCGAAACGGGCCTCCTCCTACAAGACCGCTAAACGATACGATACGATATGATACGATACTCTCTACCATTTTATGAACTATCTATTTGAAATCCTTAAGTGATATAGCTTAAAAGTTAAAAATCATTTGGAAGATTTTCTTTGATATCCTTGACGAACGACTTTCTTTTATAATTGGGGTGGAATATAATGATCGGATCGGTAAAGCGTAGTAATTTTGTGGATGATGGTGGGGATGGGAGAAAAGGTATCGTGGTGGCGGGGTCGTACTTGTCATAAACCGGATTTACTGTCGGCCTTTCTGAGCTTTACGAGGATCGGCAAAAGTGTGTGTGTATATATTGGCGAGAAAAGGGGAAACAAGATTGAGAGTAAAAGATGAAGAGGGAGATGGAAATTGCGTGGGTGGAAAAAGGAGACGACGATGACGACGACGACGACGACGACGACTACCAGCCGAGCAGCCAGCTTTGGATGGAGCTCACGAATCATTTGAACGTGTTATTGATATATGTATATAGTATGTATCTACGTAGGTAGGTTGGTTTGGTTTGGTTTGGTTTGGTTTGGTTGGTTGGTTGGTTGGTTCAAAAGGTAGAGGGATATCAAGAAGAATACAAAAAGAATGGGCGATGATTTTTTTTGTTTTTTTGGGTGTGTGTGTTGGTCAAGCAAAAAGGAAACTGAATTATTTGAAGTAATACGAATCATTGGACCTGATCGTTGAATTTGACAAGGACAAGTAACGTGTAAGTCGATCAGTTCATCTTAACTCGAGAAATCCTTGTAGGTTAATGAAATACAGATATTCCCTTCGAAATCTGGTATTAAATGCTTTCGTTAATAACCGGTATACATATAAAAAGATTGCAATTTTTTTTCTTCCCTTTTTCGAAGCAAGAATGTATCACGATAAAAAAAAAAAAAAGGACTCTTATTTCTCGTTGGGCACGAGGCGGTGGTGTCGCGTGTTTCTTGCAGTTAGTTTTCCTTTCTGTCGACTAACGAAACACGCACCGATGGAAGAGAAGGTGCTAAGAAAATCGACACGATTTGAGAGAAGAGACACACATAAGTATTATCAAAATATAATATATAACATATTGTTCAAATGAAAGTTCAATGTAAAAGACATTACTAAAAAGTAATAAGGAAAATGTTCAAACGAGTTGCAATCCTTTACCGAACCACTTTTTTACAAACGTACATACTTTTATATTCCTATCTTTTGAACAACCTTATTTTCAAGCTTTCACATATATTATATAGATATTGAACGAGTATATCACGTCCTACATACATTCATTTCAACATCGATATTCCGCGGAATGGTAAAAAGCTCAGAGAACGTTCGACGCAAATGCAAACGCAATTACCATCTATCCTCTAATCCGTGGTATATGAATTAAAAGTAGTAAAGTTCCTATTATGCATTTATGCAAAAACGTCGGCGAGTTATCGTTTCCGTGAAATCGCCATATCGATCGATC